GTTACCCTGTTACTAGTCTCGTAAAAATTAGGAATAAGTAAATGTACTTTTTTATCTGCTACAATGTAGCTATTTGAATACAAAGAAATTGCATTTAAGAGTACCTAACTAATTGCTTTTAGAGATTTTTGCTTTATCTTAACTATGAACAAGTGTCGTTAAAATGTTTGAAGGGTAATAAATAAAATGTCCATCTCTATTAAAAACATTCTTTCTTTTACAAAGATGTGTCAATCTCTGGTCTTTTTGGTTTTATCCGATCAGTTAGAAACTAATAGCTACATTTTCTTGGTATAAGGATTCTTCCTTTTAATTCTTCTTTATATACAGGATGTCCCAAAATTAGCACGGCAAACTGACACCGAAAGTAGTCAGGTCTAAGACGCACAGAACAGGTCTAAGTAAATGTCAATAGAAATGTTTTATGAGTTTGGAGATATGCCCAATTTTAGTAATTATTTTCCATATAAAACATGACTTTCAGTAATGAACAAGTTTAGTTATTTTTTAAAATGGACATATTAGATAGACTTGTTCGATGATGTTGTGTGCTGTTATCATGTTAGTTTTTTTCATTTTAATTTTGTTTGTTGTTTAATACATTAGCAGAACAAAACTGTGATTTTAAATTCAAAAGGCACTATTGTGATTAAGCAACAGTCAGAGAGAGTGTCTGTTAGAAGTTAAATAAGTAACTAGTTAGGATTTGCAATAATTCTAGATTTCGCTCTATGAAGTAAGAACTGATAGGTATAAACTTGTTTCTTGCATTGTTTTTAACATAACTAGTTATTTATCTACACTAATGCATATGGTTGTGACAAAAATAAAACTTATCAGTTATCAGTCGAAACAAAAAAAGCATACTTAGCAAAAACATCGATGGTGTTCCCAATATTCAAATCGTAACCGAGGTCTCCCACTTCACACTTGCACACACTACAACATATCAACAACAACACCAACAACAACATGTTGAACAAATGTTGAACAAGTGTCCAACATACCACAAGCTATCCCGCCCGAACTCGGCGTTTCACTGAGTTTTTTTTCACATTTTGCTAATGTAATGTAAACAACTATTGAACTTGACCCGAGAGATTAGTGTGTAGGTATATCGAATTCTCGACAACCATTTTGCCCCGGCTCCGTCCGCGTTCGGCAGCCAACTAACTCATTTCATAAGTTTAGTAGAGTTACGTAAAACCGCTCTAAATTCATGGTCGAAAGACCTAGCTAGCATCTATGTTATCATTTTGTATATTTATAACTATGTCGTCATATGTTTGCACGTTAGAATTGCATTTACAATGCATTACTTATCAATCTATTTTCAATTAAGTTAGTTAATTAGTTGCTTTCTTTGTGTTTTAAAATGTATTTACCTAAGCAATGCGGATATCCGTTTAGAGAAGATTACGATTTGTTTTCCTATCTCTAAAGATTTTAGTAAAAAAATAAGAGAAAAAGTTTTCTAATTAAAAAAAATCAAGACAAAAAGACGGGTTAGATAATTCCATATATCTCTAAAAATGAGTCTAATGGGTCATCAATTTCAATGATAAAATATTTAATTGGTCTCGACCGACATTACACATTTTTGATGCCTTAGTAATAAATATTCTTACTGCATACGTCACATAAAACATTGTCACTACATTGTAGTTTATCTAATTTAATAATTTACCTATTATTATAAAAAGGTGATTTACATGCGTTACTTTGTGCTTAGGAAAAATGTAAGCTGGGACTCCAGTAAAATAAATATGTAACTGTTGGTGTACTTTTTTTGGCTTGAATCTGACTGAATCGAGTTGTAGAGTTGTTTTATAAAACAAACTACCGATATTTACTTAGATTCAGTCCTTAAAAATATCAGTAATTTATCTAAAAATATATTTTCGTACAGTATTGGCCAATGGGACTAAAAATCAAGGTCCCGCGCACATGTGTCAAGCGCAGATAACCGATGACCTGCGATTATTAAGGTACGCGTTCACTTGTCATAACATCCTATGTACACGTGCGGATTGCAATTTTAAATTCTCTAGATTCCATTGGTGCATGATGCGACTAGAAAATTGAGATAACTCTTGTTTGGCCGTAAAAACTGATCCCTTGATTTGGAAAGAAAGAAAGAAAGAAAGAAAGACACATTTATTACAATGGACATCACACAAATACAGGTAATTACATAGACATGACAGTGGCACATAATAATGGAAGAAGAAAAAATAAAAACAAGAGTAAACTGAGCAGTGCCACCCATCCACCAACAAGATGCCCACTGCAACGGGACCCCACTCAGATGCCGTGGCCCACGGTGACGAAGGCCACGGCGCTGGTTTTCAGTGTGCCCCATGCCGAGTGAGGGCCACGGACCATTTTTAAAATAAATAAAATACTAAGCTGCATAAAATTGTCTAGATAAACATACATAAATAGTAATATTAGTGCACAGATAAATACAAAAGGCGGTAAATCGGTAAGGATGATAAGACTACGTTTATTAAGAATACTAATGAAAAGAATACTAGGTGAAAGCATGTATAGAGTCAGATATTTTCGCAGCTCTATATCTAACATTGGGAATCTCAATTGTTACAACCTTCTTAACTGCCAACATCATTTCAGCCTAAGGCCGCTGGACGTAGGCCACCAAGGATCTATCGTCATCATTTCAGCCTAAGGCAGTCCACTGCTGGACAAAAGCCCCAGGGACGCAAGGAAATCACCTCTCTGTCTCTATGACTCGCCGCGTGACGTGTAGTCGGTGAGGGTTAGACGTTTCGGCTCCATACGTCTGTGATGGCTTGCTATTTGACTTTAAGAACTATAAAGAAAAAGAAGAATTGAATTTTTGAATTTGACCTAAAAAGAGCTCTAATAAAAGCGCCATCTGGTGAGTTTACCGAGTTTCCGTCCCATTGCTAATTACGATTGCCATTTTGTTTCGTGCATTGCATACTGATAGTCTGTATGTTCCTTTATCTGAGTATGGATTTCATTCACGATAAATGAAACTCTAACAATATTTAATTAGTATTATTAAGTACGCAGTTTTTTATATGAACAACGGGATTCAGATTACTTTACTCGTGGCATGTCTATGATTTACCTATAGATATGTTTTTGTAACGTGATATTATTAGAAAGCATTTGTGTTATATTTGCAGTTGTTTCCTTTATATTCATTATGATATTTTTCGATGGGGCTGAGGTCCGATTCTGATGCATTTTGGTATCTCATACTTACCTAATTAGCCGAATTCCTCATGGCCTTTGTTCGCTCTACCGGGGAATCAAATCCAGGTCCGCAGCGAGTGAGTCGCAAACAGTTATTTATTCAATGAAGTTAACTCTACAATATCTGCTGCTTTTTGTTAAATTTTCACTGAAAATAGTTATGAAAATACCTAAAAAAAAGTTTGACACTTAGCACGAGGTATCACATATACAGGTTGTTCGGAAGAAGGTGTACCTACCAGGCCAGGAGGATCCAATGGCCCATTTGTAATTCAAAATGGCTCTACCTATGCACTCACGTGTTTGTATAGTGGTAACTTACTAGTCGTGATAGGTTCTTACAATATTAGGTACTTACGATTCGCAAACCACACAACACCTAAATACTACTTATTGTTAGTTGAATGACTCCATATCGGGCAAGTGTGCTCTGCGATAAGCATGTGCTTTGTCTACAATGGCCTAATTTTAAGATAACTTACCAAGAATACGATGTTTGTACGGTTAATTATAAGATTAACAGATTTTTAGCTTCACCTGCTTAAACAATAAAGATTCTTATTAGTAACAGAATCAACTATGGATATGGATAGAGGTGTTACTATACAGATTAAGGTTCTGGTGCAAATAACCCTCCTTTTAGCGCAGTCGGGTAAAAACTCGTGCAGTAACTGTTTTGTTAAGTCAAAGTTCGGCTTGTTTTAGGAGAAATGTAAAGTAGACTTACCTGCTGAATGGACCGACGATCCCAATAAGTTATTGGCAGTGGCTTGATGAAAAAAACAGGCTATCGTTTAGTTTTACATTCCTTGCTGAAATGCTGATGAAGATTTACTTGCTTTTATGTAACCTGAGATAGTGTGTGTAGTAGGACTAGTAGGTATACCTACTGGTTTTTAATTGCAGTTGTAGGTAATTGCCCAAGAAGCAAAAATGGGTTGAATTGTATCATCATTGATTAATTGGGAATACCTACTTAAAATACTATTATAAAAGAAATAAAACCGGAATATAATTGGGACAAGGTCACTCGTTGACCAAAATATCTGACTTTTTAGATATTTGCTAAGATAGCAGAACTATTCGGTATAAAGAACTGAAATTATTTTCTTTATCTTGAATAACTAAGACATTTTGCAATGAAAACACTAAATCAGTTTAAAAATATATTTCCATTCTTACAAAAGATCCTCACAAAATATTTACATCGGTTAATTATAATGTTGTCATACAAACAAACATACTTAAACTTAATTAATGTAAATGCATTCTCTAATTTGATCCCGCACTGTTGATGTCTACAGCTGTATAATCATAATATTGCACGTTACATTTTAGTCAAAAGTACACTAACTTGCAAAATTATGTATCAAAAATATTGTTACATTGTCCTGTGTTTCATTTAATTAAGTTTAGTTTATGATAAAAATAACATTTGACACACATATCGGTTAAAATAATAAATTATCATTAAGGCCCAGTTTTTTGATTCGTAGTTAAAATAACCAATAGTTAAATTTGACAGATGTCAAGTGACAAGTGGTTAAATATCAGAAAAAAATGTTTTTCGAACAATGGTTAGTCTGGCTTTTAGTACATTTTTTAACCATTAGTTTACAGTTTGTTAATATTTAACCATTAGTAGCAAAATTTAACAATTAGCTAGTTATTTTAACTATGAATCAAAAAACTGGGCCTAAAAAGAACACATTTTTATTTGAGAGTAAAAGATTTTCTGCAATTATTTTTAATAATTTCAAAATCGTTAGTTCGGCTGGATGACTTTAAATAGTACAAAGAATGTTGTCACAAATTATTATCATTATTCCACGAAAAAACATCGCTTAGATAAAATCATAAAAACTTTGTCAGGTAGGTAAATAATTATTGATGTGTAGTGTAAACATGACTAATATAATTTTATTCTTTCAAAATCTACAATATGATTACATAGAATTTAAAAAAAAATAACACAAAACCAAAATAAAATATGTGGTGGGCTTGTGTTTTGTGATGTATCACCAGTCTTTATAATTCTGATCCCAGTTTCGTAAAATAGGTTTATTTCGAGGTGCCTACCATGTAAATCATAATTTTCATCTATAAAATAAGAAGATTAAAATTAAATATTATAAAACGAATTAATTGATTTTCTTTATTCGATGCAGTACTTAAGTTAAGTAGTCGTTCTTTATTTTTAAAGACTTCTAAGGACCTATTAAATTTACATACTATTGCACTTATCCTGCAAGGGAGTGTATTTTTAAGATATTTAACATTCCTTGATTTTATTTCATTAAATTAATTTTATAATATATTTTCATAATAATATTCATAATGCTAAGGCACTTTTCATTACAAAATATTTACAAAAATATATTTTTCACTATAATAATAATAAGTAGAACATTTTAATTTAATTTTGATATCCTAAAATAATTATATTTTATGATCACATTTGTTCAGTATTGTCTACAAGGAAATTTTGATTGAAAAATTGTAAATAACTAAGTTCTAAACTATGTGAAATACGTAAATGCAGACCTGCTACATTTAATATTTTAATTCCATTTATTGTACTTCGTAAATTCATTAAATAGAAGTCAAATAAATAAATTTAGGAAGGTATTTATTAGTTATAAGTATTTGGCATGTTACTATAGCAAAATATTGTATGCCATCTATACTTATTTATTACAATCTATTTGTGACCAGTTAATTATAAATTACCTATGATGATCATCAAAATACTAATACTAAAGGTATATTCACATTAGTACGTGGCAGACACAGACACAGTATTTTTTATGAATCACGCATGGCACGTAGCAATGTAAATGACCTTAACCCATCATCGTCAATTCATTGTATTGATCTATCACATTACAAATTACAATTTATTGTCTACAATTAATTAACCTATTTGTATCCGTTCATCACATATTACTCTCCCACAATTTTAAATAATTGTCTATGACCTCCTCGAACCACTTTTTCTTCTTGACATCTTTGAAGGCAGGCGATAATGTCTTTAATTCTAGTTGTAATAAGGCTTCGTTTCCTAGGAGACTGTCGAGGTTTCTCAGTAGGGCTGGTTCTCCATGAAGTTTTAAAAGGCTGGGGTATGAGAATATGTAGTAGTGGACTCGAAGTCGCTTCATTGCCCAGCTTTCAACTGTTTTATTTCCACTGGCGACCTGAAAAAACAAATGCTGCTAGACTTTTTTAAATTAGACATTGTCGTAAAAATAGCAGTCCGATTGATTTTTTTTATAGGTACTCTGATTGTGTGTGTAGGTAGTTTGTACCAGTGTACCACACATGATACAATAGGATACTAGGATAGGTCCTTGAAACCTACACTAGTCTTATCGAACTGAAATTACTTTCTCATCCACAAATTTTTAGTTATTAGTCAGTTGAGAAATAAAATTGATTAAAATGTAAAATGATATGAATCAAATGAAATGTTTAATGATTGATGAATTTTTTTATGGCTTGGTAGAGACCGAAAGAATGTAGTAATTATTCCAACTCCAGACAATTCTCCAGTCAATTAGAAATCAATAGGTTCACCTACTAACGAAAAATGGTTTTATGTTAACTTTATTTTCTATTTTCATTCTCTTCTTTTCAACTTTATGGTTCTTACCCGAAGACTGCAGGATAGGATCTAAAATGGAGCGAGCATCCCAAAAGATACTTTTTACTGGCTCATTTATTAGTAGGTAGGTAGTTCTAAATTAAATCTTGGTATCCATAAACTTTACCTTGATCTGGCCTATATGCTTCGCGTGCCAAGGCGAGAAATACCCTTCCAATTCCTTGGCAGTAATGTCGGCCACGCCCTTGCTCTTTAGCCGCTCTTTAATCATAGAGTAGGCCGTTCTAGAGAACACAAACACCTGGAGTGAGAGCATAGACAAGGCATCATAATCTTGTAGTGGTTATTTTTAATCTATATCAAAAAAAGATCGTGTACTCCAGGCTTTATCCGTCAAAATTGGACTGTGAAAACTTCTTTTGTAATAAAACAAGATTCAAATTATACTTAGTTCTTTTTTTTGTTCTAGAAAAATCTTTCAGCTTAAGCGCAGTGATGATTGTAAGAAAAATGATTGTAAATGATAATGGTATTAGAAAAGAAGTTTGATGTGATTTGAACACCATGAAATGATTATGAAAACATGGATGATGTTCAAATGATGCAGATGCATTTAGGCTGGTTCCACACAACAAGTTGGTACAGAGGTAGCTATATGAAGATGTAATTTATAGTACCTATGTAGCACCTTTTATACGATTTTATTATGTGACGGTAATAAGAGAAGTTGGAAGTTTGAGGCGATTTAATTATGTAGTGACAGTAAAAAAGAGAATTTAGAAGTTTTAGGCGATCAGTTGTCGAAACTGTCCTGTTTTGTGGGTATTTTTCAAAAGTAGAAAACTACTTACTTTTCTTTAATGCACCATTGTAATTGCAACCAGTAATTTTGAAATACCGGTAATCTGATTCTTTTTTACCGTCACTTACTAGGAGACCTCTATAATTATAATGAATGAAAGAACGAATGAATGAGCCCGTTAATCAGTGTGGAACCAGCTTTACAGTCCAAACCTTGACAGCTCCGACATGCTGCGCGAATATCGGCGAGAAGAAGTTGTTCATCTCCGTCTGCGGGATGTCTGACACGCCCTTTAGTTTGACACGCTCCTTAATCCTGGAGTACACGCTCCTTGTGTATACGAACACCTGGAAAACAAGGGCACTTAAAGATATACATTATAATCATCATCATCATCATCATCATCATTCAGCCATAGGACGTCCACTGCTGAACATAGGCCTCCCCCAATGTTTTCCATGTTGATCGATTGGTAGCGGCCTGCGTCAAGCGCTTCCCTGCTACCTTTATACTTAAATACATTATAATATGTAATAAGTACATTGCGTATTATGTTCAGTATCAGCTTTAATTACATCTTTACTAATAAATGTATTGAAATTCATCTTGAACCAACTTACTCCACGAGACTAGCAACGTGACACTAGTTTTAAATGTTAGTCATAAAACCGCACTTCCCTAAGCGCGTTTATCGCTTGTTTTGTAAACTACCCGCGTTTTCCCAAACACGGGGTCACGTTGCTACCCACACAGCTCGAGTCACGTGAGTCTACTCGTTTTAGTTATTTTGAAATCAAGTAATTAGTAAAATATAATTAATATTCAGTGGGCCCATGGTGGAACAGACAAGACAAGACAGCTTAGTATTTTAAATCATAATATTGCAGGTAGGTACTGCCTGAAGAATAATTTAGCCGTTGAATGAAAGGAATAGTGAATTGTCTTGCATGGGAAAATCATTCAGTGAGGAACAAACTTAGTGTACTTTACCTAAAGTCCAAATATCCAGTGGCTTAATTCATTGTTTACCAATTAATCACCCAGATTGGGAAATTTTCTTCGCCGAAAAATGTAGAGAATTAAAGTCAACATTTGACACAATATGTTGCTTTCAACATTAGAGTAGCTCTAAGTAAAAGGTCAGTCCTTCAGACCCACATTTATTTGATTAAAGAAATGCATGAAAAATCTATTCAACTAAGTAATACCGTAACTAATATCGACTAAGATGAGATGATTGTAAGAGTTGATTAGTCTAATGCAGCGGTTCCCAAACTTATTTAGTCTACTGCCCACGTTGAGAATAAATTATTTTTTAGCGCCCCCCATTTTTGTAGTCAAGAGTCGAGCTCAGTCGGTGTCTAAGAGTCCTCCTAGTAGATGACGCCTCCCAAGCCTCTACACAACGTCCCGATTTTTTTTTCTGGGTCTCTTACCGCCCCCCTTTAAGCCTGCAGCGCCCACAAGGGGGCGTTATCGCCCACTTTGGGAAAGACTGGTCTAATGCTTCAACCACACCAACGCGTGCAGATCGCGCCGCCGCGGCGATGGCGATTTGCACGCGTTGGTGTGGTTAAAGCTTAAACAAGGTCTAAAAATCAGGTCAGATGAAATAAAGTAAAAACACATGATATTAAAGATTTACCTGATACAAGGAGTTACCAGTGACGTACGAAGCTATGTAGTGCGAGCCGTACTTGCGAATGAAGTCGGCAATGGACACCGTGTCTCCTATAGCGGACTCCTGGATGGCCTCGAACACCACGTCCTCGATCGAAATGTTGGATGGTAAGTCGCTTAGTTTCGCTGTTTCGCGGAATCTGGAATTTACATCAAAAATGTTTCATCATCAAAGTTGCATAGCGTGCTATGGCGACGGCTATGTTTCTTTATGAGATTGAATCAGGAATCGTTTATGAATCTCCTTATTCCTGATTTGATCGTAGATAAACGAAAGGCACACAGCACGCAGAACTGATGTTTGATGTTCAAAAATGTTTAAGTACCTACCTAGTTGAGAACTTTTTTTATAGAATAGGTACATCAAATCTATGGTAAGATAGCTGTTCTGTTCTGCCAGTCTGGATTAGCCTTAGCTATTGTAGCGCCTAATAAAAGAATTAGCTCAAAATTATTTACCACGCAACGCAATACGTGTAATAAATAAATAAATAAATAAATACAGGGAGATCTATGAGAGACGACCAGAAATTAGAAAAAACTCCGTGGCATTTTATTTATAAGTGTTCTGAAAGGCGGGACAGTTCTTTTTATCATATACAAGAACAATTACCTTGACACCCTGACCAGCACATAGCAGTGGTCGCCGTTGATGAAGGAGGAGTTGATGCCGAGGTTCCGCGCCATGATGTCCGTGGGCCAGCCCGCCGTGAACGCACGCCATGGCCGCTCCAATCTGAAATGTAAAATACCAGTATTTTACATAACTTCCTCTTTATGTCGATGTTATGATCTCGGCACGTTTATGCTCAGACCCTAATTTCGTATCTTTATTACCTACTTAAAAGCAGTCTTATCTCTCAAAAGTAAAGTCCCTAAAGTACGCCTGCAGCAGCTGCTTCAAGTTACTGTGGCTATGAAGCGTTCCATGTCGCGGAACACGCTGACGGTTGGCTCGCGGAACACTTAGCCCAAGAGGCATACTTAGCTTCTGAACCAGGAGGGAATTTCTATCCAGGGAGGAGGGCATGTAGGCAGGGTCCTCAGCGCTTAGATATTTAAGAAAAATAAACTTTGTGACTGACGATTGGTCCGCGGAACACCCAGCCCTCGGTGTCATTATCAAGCTGGCAGCCTTACTGTTTGTGCCTAAATTACCTAATCAAAAGTAGCCTTACCTCTCAAAAGTAAAGTCCCTAAAGTAAGCCTGCAGCAGCTGCTTCAAGTTATCGCAGAACTCCATGTGGAAGTCTCCATCGAACAGCGTCTTCGGCTGGCGAGGCTTCGGCACGACTGTGAAGCGTTCCACGTCGCGGAACACGCTGACGGTTGGCTCGCGGAACACCCAGCCCCAGAGGCGTACCAAGCTTTTGGACCAGGGAGGGGGACATTCTGACTAGGAGGGAAATGCATTTGGGCAGGATCCTCAGCGCTTGGATATTTAAGGACAGGAAACGTTTCACGTCGCGGAACACGCTGACGATTGGCCCGCGGAACATTCAGCCCCTGGTTCCATTATCGAGCTGGCAGCCTTACTATTTGTGCCTAAATTACTTAATCAAAAGTAGCCTTACCTCTCAAAAGTAAAGTCCCTAAAGTACGCCTGCAGCAGCTGCTTCAAGTTATCGCAGAACTCCATGTGGAAGTCTCCATCGAACAGCGTCTTCGGCTGTCGAGGCTTCGGCGCTACTGTGAAGCGTTCCACGTCGCGGAACACGCTGACGGTTGGCTCGCGGAACACCCAGCCCAAGAGGCATACTTAGCTTCTTAACCAGGGGGGAATTTCTGGCCAGGGAGGATGGCATTTAGGCAGGATCCTCAGCGCTTAGATATTTAAGGACAAAAAACGTTTCACGTCGCGGAACATGCGGACGATTGGCCCGCGGAACACCCAGCCCTCGGTGTCATTATCAAGCTGGCAGCCTTACTGTTTGTGCCTAAATTACCTAATCAAAAGTAGCATTACCTCTCAAAAGTAAAGTCCCTAAAGTACGCCTGCAGCAGCTGCTTCAAGTTATCGCAGAACTCCATGTGGAAGTCTCCGTCGAACAGCGTCTTCGGCTGGCGGGGCTTCGGCGCGACTGTGAAGCGATTCACGTCGCGGAACACGCTGACGGTTGGCTCGCGGAACACCCAGCCTTCGATGTCTTAATGAAGTTGCCAGCCTTACTGTCTCGTGACTATATTACATACTTAAAAGTAGCCTTACCTTTCAAAAGTAAAATCCCTAAAGTACGCCTGCAGCAGCTGCTTCAAGTTATCGCAGAACTCCATGTGGAAGTCTCCGTCGAACAGCGTCTTCGGCTGGCGAGGCTTCGGCGCGACTGTAAAGCGTTCCACGTCACGGAACACGCTGACGGTTGGCTCGCGGAACACCCAGCCTTCGGTGTCGTTTCGCGGCACGACTCGCATGCATATGCTGAGGTAGCCATATCTGGAACATTTTGGAGAACATGATAGAGATGCATTTGGGGAACATGGTGGCGTACGAGGCTACACGTGAGGAGAATAATAGACACGTAGAGTATAGATTAGAGGGGAATGTCTGAACACGTAGTGTATGTTGTATCTTGATTGGAGGTAGATAGCGATATTGACATATGTAGGTATTGACATTGAACATCACACATAAATTAGCATACTTTATTTTATCAAATTATCATGATAACATACCAAATAAACATTTTAATAAATAGGGTCCTTACACTTTTGACCTTACATCATATTCAGTGCGCATCGTAAAGGTCACGGAATCATGTTTTATTCAAACATGATTTAAAATGTAAATAAAAAAATATCAATAGGGAGATACTCCTTAGAAAATATTTCCTTCCTTAGTAATAAATAAGATACGAGTATGAATAACATATTTATTCTAAAAGTGATGTCACTTAATTGGAGCAAGTGACCGGGTCTGGTGAGCGCTGAAGTGGTTAAACCACAGATCACAGAAACTAAACGGAGACGGGAAAAAGGGGCGGGGCCAGTGTCGCAGCAATATGCCCAAAAACAGAACACACACTCTTCGCGACGTATCTATTGTTTTTTATTTTGATTACTTTGTGTGTGTTTTCTAATGAGACATTGGGTTTCGAACTCGTCGCAATAGTTGGCATCTCTATGGGTTAGACGATCTATAGTATTTGCACTCGCTAGAATGGCGCCACGGTAGACTAAGCGTGGTAAGTAACTTGCTTCTGAATGTATTGTAACTTCCTACTTTTTTATACTTATTTTTAAACCGGCAGACAGTGGTGACTGAGTTTGTTGCGGCGCTTCTTCTCAGCACTTGCCAAATGTTTTTTCTCGAAGCGCTGGTAGGCTCCTTAAGAGCATTTGACGATTTGCAAGTACTAATTTAATTAGTCTAAACAAATAAAGAAAATTTTGATTTTGATTTTAAGGTCCTATCACTCGCCAGTGGTGCCAACTGTTATGTATAAAAGAAAGATATCCCTCGTTAGTATAGGATGGTGTAGGTGTACCTCATGAATATGTTGATGGCCTTCCCGACGCCCAGCTCGGAGTCCACGGCGGCGGCGCCAGCCAGAGCAACCAGCAGCAGCACCGTGGACGCCCGCACCATCACACCGACACCGCCCACCTGTGAAGAAAGAAAGAAAATCGGTAAAAAATAGTTGAAAACATACCTAACCCTCCTTTGGGCGCAGTCAGGAAAGAGGCGGGTTACTTCAGCCCTAGGACAACCTTGGCTCAAAAAAAAGGATTAAACTGGTGACAAATTTATTGAAATCATAACCCTTCTTCTGGCGCAGTCAGGTAAGAGGCGGGTACTTTAGCCCTAAAGGACAAACTTGGCTTAACAAAAAATAATTAAAATGGAGACAATAAAATTGAAAACAACCCTTCTCCTGGCGCAGTCAGGTAAGAAGCGGGTTACTTTAGTCTTTAAAGGACAACCTTGGCTCAACAAAAAAGTATTAAAATTGAGCAAAAAAATATTGAAAACGTACCTTCTTGAGCCCTAAAGAGCAACCTAGGTTGCTAATAAAATTATCTTGCAGCCAACAAATAAATAGGCGTCAGTAATGCTATCTAACATTGCCCTGCCAAATTATATCGTTTAGTGGAAGAGGTAGGAACTGAGAAGTCAAGTCCTTAATTTTTTGTTTTGGACTAAAGTTGCCTCGGGGCAAAAGAAATCCGCAATCGGTAACCACAAAATAAAATGAAATAATTATTATTTTAAACAAATGTGATTGGTTTTTGTGATTTTACGCAAACGGTGTGGTCGTGGACGAGTGTCAGTTGACAATGAATGTAACAATTTTGTACCTTCCTATGATTTCCATTTTAGCCAATGTTGCTCTACCTAAAAGGTTCATTGGAAATAATTCAACCCTAAAAATAGCTAATAACTTCACATCATAAAATAGTAAATAATGCCAAAAAATCTCCCCGGCGGGGAATCGAACCCCGGTCTCCCGCGTGACAGGCGGGGATACTGACCACTATACTACCGAGGACGTTACATAGGGGTTGAAATTGCACAATATTGCATCCATCCAAGTAGATGTCATTTTTTGCTTACATTGTATAATAACAATACATGAAATAATAGACATAAAATAAAATAAGTTAAACTAAATAATACAATTTATACAGAGTAATTACTTAAAAAATCAACCACAAATAAATTATAATAAGAGAGTTATTATAAAAATATTTCTCATTCACTAATTCACACGTTTACCATGTTCTTTAACAGATGGCGTTACTAGTAACGGCTCGGAGAAGATTCGGATTTTTCGTAGATTTTTTATAATTTTGTAGATTTCCGCATACATTGACATTTATATATTGTATTATAATATCCAATAAATATGATTTTATGGGAAATGAAAATTTTATTTTATTAGGTGTCCACGCCTTACAAATCCAATGAATTCGATTAGCATTGTTAAATATAATACTTAAAATTCCAAACAATTCAATAAAAAATATCAAAAAAATTAAATTATCATTAAACTCTGTAAACTAACCACAGTTTATCTCAATGGTGATCGTTAAAAATAGCTTAAACGATTTAAAATAATGAATAGGTAATTAAGTAGAGAAGATTAGGCGATGGTCGTCCATCGGTCCGTCTAAGGTACAGTCATCTAGATAGCGTAATTTGGTTCGCATTGACACTCATTCTTGAGGTCAATCATTGGGCACAGACGGAAGAGAACGGCCAGCTCATTCCTGACAGATGCATGCATTGCAGATTTTGTAGATAAAAAAGCCATAGTATTGTTACGTACAAAAGCATATTTTTATGTCTTTAGTTAACACTTTGTCGTTATCATGATCATTTAGCCGCTAATTGGTTCTAGGTAATCATCCGGTTCCTTCTCGCTTAAGTAGGTAACAATGTGCAGTGGTACAATTTTTGTATAGCCTTAGTCCCATCATGTGGTACCTACACGTACTCTTTAAGAAATAATTTCAAATGATGTTTTTTCGTAGGTGGTACACATAAAATTCAATAAAGTATTTATTAAACAATATTTCCAACAAAATTAAAAAACTAGTAAGACACAGATACAGATATTAAATAATACACTTTTATAATGTTAACTACAGACATGTCGTTAATTGAAATAAAAATGCCGTTTTATTTTGACTGTGACTTGTCTACGATCCCAAGTTGAGTGCAAGGCTAGGTCAACGCGCAGGTATTGAATCGTACACCAGGTTTAAACACCATGGATTTTAAACGCTACTGCATTGACTTAGGGATTATGCAATTTCCCGGGGCCAACTGTGCGAGTTGGTAGGCCGATTCAATCGGAGGCACTTGGTAATCTTCTATAGCCATAGCCAATTTTGTCAAGTGCTTTACACAATAGGTATTTGTAATGGATCTAATCAGTTATAGGGTCTATTTTGCGTGAAACTATTAATGTTATCGTTAAAAGAGTTCGTTCGTTTGTTTCAGCCAAATGACGTCCACAGCTTGGGGAGGCCTTCGTCCAGCAGTGGACGTCTTTCGGCTGAAACGAACGAACGAACGAACAATTCACTGAAGTGAAATAAAGGCTATTATGCGTAGGAAAATTGGAAAAGTTTTCCGGAAACTAGCATGTAGGGAAAAAGTTTAGGTTCTTCTGTTGTCGAAAGAAAATCTCCGAAAATATTTTTCCATATGCTTCTGTCAGGTTAAAATTTCCCACAGGAATCTTTCTGTTTTCAAGGTAATGTTAAAATGAATTAGGTAAATTATCAAATAAGAATCATAAAACAAACAAACATACCTAATTGAATGTGTTAATAATAATAATCTTATAAATATTATAATTATACGCCCAATACCTACATCCCATTTAAATTTTTCAATAAGCAATCTTCACAAAAAGTCAACGTGATCACAAATGATCGTCTTAACCTTCTGTAATAAGGTTGGCTTCGTGATCTGACGGCCATAAATAATTCGATCGCCTGATATCGTGAGGCTCGATAAAAACACGAATAATTTAACCAAAGCCTTATTAATTATGTTTGAGACAAAGCAATAGGAACTTGTAAAGGTACTGCCATTTGCCCGTGGCTTTACTTGCGAGAATTTGGATTCGGTAGTATCTTAGGGTAGTATCAATAAGTATCAACGTGAATTTTCAAATCCCTAACATGCAAAGGAAAAGCGATGAGTTTCCCAAAACTGTCAAGATTCCTTGATGAGATGTCCCCATTTTCTTCAAGATCCAATTTTTCTTTGGGCCAAAACACATTATGAGTTTTTTCAGAAGTCAGGATATTTATCATTTTCAAAATTTTATCAAAAAATTCAAAATAAGACTTTATAAAGAGAGGCCTACTTTACATTGTTTCTTAATATTGCTTAGGTAGACTTCAGGTTTGTACGTTCGGCTTAACGATGATCAGTTCGGCCTTTGGTATTTGTTGGGTTTAATAAGATTTCGACACTCTTGATGTGAATGCAAAGTCCTTTGCAAGGCGTTGCGTCAATGGTTCACAAAATTAATTGATAATGGCAGTCAAAGGCATCAGCATAAGTAGGTAATACTGCGTCAGTAAAATGACGTAGTTACTAACATATGAATGAATAATGTGTAAAAACATCCTCATGAATAGGTACTTTTGACCTGTAAAACTTGCTTGTACAGTAGTTTTCCCTTTAAAATTTAATGGCAGATTTTTCCTACTTCTACTTCATGTATTTGCTTTGCCAGTAATCTTAGTAGTTGTATTTTATTCCATAAAGATACTTCTACGAACTTTTTTAACCTGGACAAAAAAGCGCATCATCTGATTCTGTGGTCGCTTGATGTATTGATAAATGGCCCAGAGCTGCTGGCTGTAGAATTATAGGTCCAACAGTAAGAATTCTAGATACCTACATTTTTAATTTTATTTTGTCAAGAACTATCAGAAGGTTAAATTATGATTTAACAGACCCCATGCTACCTACTATTTTTTTCGTGATAGTTAATGAATTGAATGAGATGAAGATGAGTCTTCATTAATTATTAAACCTTAATCCAATCCTCATTAACGTGTCTCACAATAATTAACCAAAGTTTAATCCTCATTACTCTTTCATATTTCGTGTCAGTACGCTTCTTCGACTGCAGTTTCGTTTTATTACATGCATTGTCGCCACCATCTGGGTCAAGGGATCATCGCTTTGCATTTCACATGACAATGCCATCTGCCCCATCATCACAAGTATCAAGATTTTACGTCAGATTACTTTACGAAGTTATTTATTTTAACGTAATGATCTCTGTTGACAAATTATAGTTCAAGACTCTCGGAGGTCAATAAAGATTTTATCACAAAAAGTTGCTACTAATTTAGGTGTTTCATTTTAATGTTTGTGGGCAAACTAGTCTCTCCTGATCAAGGACTGGCTCTTATGTAGCTTCTAATAGATATTTTTCCAATGTCAGCAGTTTAGGGAAAAGATTTTAAGAGCTCTTTCAAAGTAGGCGTTTTGAGCCGGACGTTTGTTGTCCATTTGCAGGACCGCAAGTCCGAAATTTACAACTGCGTTGAAATAAAAAAAAAATAACAACGAGAGTATGCGTGCAGTCTCGCAAATCGCACGACAAACGTCTAATTTTAAAGAGCCCTAAAAGTACTTTTATTACTACTTATCAGATCTCATAGAAAAAAGGTAGAAAATGCTGGCCTGTTTTAAGCCAGATTCCGTGTCAACGTAATAGTTACCCACATTGTAACCGTTTTCACGGTTGAGCTCGCGGCCGGCGCCGGCGCACCGTGTAATTGAAGATTTGATTTTGAACCAGTCGGACGATCAATCGGGCCTTCGATCTTTACGACTGAATTTACATAACGCGTATTAATTATAGCCTAAGTAGATGGTTGTGTTTTTTGTTCTGAGATGTTAAACAAATGACTGCTTAAGTATTTTGGAATTGAAATAAAGCATTATTTTAGGCGTTTGACTATGTGAGGCACANGACCAATAGCACTTGTGCCTGTTATCTCTAAAATATTTGAAAAGGTTATTCATAATACCATAAGTAACTTCTTTGAAAGTAAAAACCTTTTTGCTTCTGAACAAGTTGGATTCAGAAAAAATAAATCTATAAATATGGCAATTTTCAAGTTTTTAAATGTAGTCATGAATACTATAGATACTAAAAACCATGCCTGTGCTCTGTATATGGATTTAACTAAGGCGTTTGACTATGTGAGGCACAGCCTATTATTAGAAAAGTTATATGCATATGGGATAAGAGGAAATGTGCTCGATCTTGTCAAATCATATCTTAGTAATCGAAAGCAATGTACACAAATTTCAAAATTATGCCCAAAGACTAAAAAGATTGTTAATTACAGATCAAAATTCAAAGATGTTACATTTGGAGTACCGCAGGGGAGTGTGTTAGGTCCTTTATTTTTTATTATTTACATAAATGATCTGCCTAAATTAACTCACTATCAAACCATATTGTTTGCAGATGATAGCACTGTGGTATTTACAGGTAATGACAAAATGCAAATGGAACTTGACATTAATAATACTTTATCTAATATTATACACTGGTTGACATTGAATAACTTAAAAATAAATCTTGACAAAACCAAAGTAATGACATTTAAAAATAGACTTGATAGAGTTGATAACATAAAAATACATTATTTAGATCAAAATATTGAACAAGTAAATTTAACAAAGTTTTTAGGTCTCAACATAGACAATGGCTTAGGTTGGAAGTCACACACTGACACACTATGTACAAAATTAAGCCAATATTCTTACGCACTGTATATGCTTAAAAGGACAGTAAATATGTCTGCTATCCTAACAGCATACCATGGATATGTTGCTCCCCTTTTAAAGTATGGTGTTATGTTCTGGGGCAACTCAGTAANCTATAAATGCCTTTATGCAGATAATATCAGTGCATGCTCTTAGCTGGCGGGATATACTGAAATTTTGGTACGAATCTTTTGTGCTCTAAACACACAACCTTTATTTACTGAGTTCTGGGGCAACTCAGTAAATAAAGGTTGTGTGTTTAGAGCACAAAATAAATGCATAAGGGCAATGTGCAAAATAAAACAGACTGAAAGCTGTAAACCGTACTTCTTAAATCTAAGGATTATGACTTTAACCTGTATTTACATACTTGAAGTGTCAATGTTTGTTAAAAATAATTTGGATCAGTTTGTAACTTTAAATAGTAAAAGACATAAATTGAAAATTTGTATACCTCCAAATAAATCAGCACTTTTCAATCAGAGCGTTTTCTGTATGGCGCCTCGAATATACAACCATCTACCAAAAGATATAATTGAAACTACATGTATACTTGTATTTAAAGCTAAGCTAAAGGACCTTTTGTTAAAAAAAAAGGTTACTACTCTGTAAATTAATATCTTTCTGACAATTTATAATGACTTGTGTGACAATTTGAGTACCTAAGTATTTATTAATGAAATGGTTTTTTTTTCTCTCCGACTGACATAATATTGTATTCTGCTGACATTTTCTGTATGACTTAATTAACTTATAATTATTAATAATTGAGTTTTATTTGAATTGTATCATTTATTGTGTCATAGATTTTTACTACCTATCAATTGTATCTTACCATTATTGTATGCCCATGCGGCGGAACACAGCTGATCTGTCATACAAATTTAATGACCTGACTTATGTACCTGTGATTTCACAATAAACACAATTTGAATTTGAAATCTTACGCCCGTAGTCACAAACATTACTATGACGTCTCACATTGCGCGTGGACGCACAAGGTGACACACAAACCAATCACAGCTCTATTCAACGCTGTGCATTCGATTTGCGGCTTCACTTAAGCAAGCATCGTTTGTGAATACGGGTGTTAGTGCCTAATTAAGTGATCTTTCTTTCACTGTAGGTTTATTAAAATATCATTTTATTTGTTTTAGATTGGAGATCCACAAGATGAGCACGACCATTTGGTTCATCATAACTCGACTGACGTCCTTAAGTTTAACGTAAGTTCTTTTAATTGCCTTCAATGCCTATTTGTATTGTGTTAGTGTTCCTTAGATTATCATACTAATATTATAAATGCGAAAGTTTGGATGTCTGGATGTTTGTTACTCTTTCACGCAAAAACTACTGAAAGGATTTTGATGAAACCCAGAATAACATATAGGCTATAATTTATGACGATCTGTGACAAACTAAATTTCACGCGGGTGAAACCGCGGGTAAAAGCTAGTATTTTATAATGATAATATGTAAACTTGAACTGTATTGACAAGCCTAAACTAAAATTTAAAATATGCAAAATAACTTTCGTTTTTAAAAGTAACTAAAAATCTATGCCAACGTTAAACTATGTATTGTAATTTTTTACGGTCATAAGTCATGTTTTTAAGGCGTTTTTCATTTAAGGTGAGGAGGTCGTATTTTAGAAAAAAAATGTAGTGTTGGATTCTACATACAATATAGGTATATGAGTTCTTTTGACAATATGAACATATTGTGGTTTAAAGGGTATAGAGCCATAGATGCGGGGGTCGCAAAGGCAAATGGAATATGTTATGTATGTATCGCATAACTACCTAATTTGTCATAAATCACTACGGGACTATTCCCACCGCTACAACTCGTGTGTAGCCAGGATCTACAGCTTGATCGCCAATAAAAAACCCAACCAGTGAAGGTCAAGTTTGTCACGGGGAAATTTAAACTGTCATTGAACCTGTAACGAAATCAATTAGAAGAACATAGGACGAGTTCAAAGTTAAGGTTCCACTTAATAAATCACTAAAGCCCGGTCCGTGAGCACGTAGAATTTTGTCCAATGACCCATAGCTACGCATCCTTATCGCTCGCGCGTAATTATATTGCTGTCGCGACTGTGCGACTGGCACCCGCAGTGAGTGCGAGCGCGATAGCAACATAATTACGCGCGAGCGATAAGGATGGGTCCGTTGGGCTATGTACGGATTACCTCATTTCTGATTCGATCTCGCAAAGAAACACCAAGTATAGCCCTCTCCATAGCACGCTGTGCAACTTTGAGCTTCTGTATAAGGCCTATAGTGAGAGCCTATAGGGGTCATTGGACAAAATTCTACGTGATAACGGACCAGACTATAGTGATATTAAACTGTAACATGTATTCCAGGGTTGGAAAGAAGAATACGTAGTAGAACGCACTCCTACTGGGCGGTGCATCCGGGTGCGTGGCGGAGACTCGGGCTGGCGCAAAGTGGAGACACTTCTGGCACGCGTGGTGCATCCACAATTAGGCTACGGGGCCGACTTGCCCCGGGAGAAACTGCACGCCTATACTGTAAGTATAGCACCTACACTATTTACCAGCATTGCAGTCTATGGCAGTCCACTTCTATTAGTCATAAAGGACCCACTTCAGGTCACAAAACCCACTTCTGGCCACAAAGGATCCACTTCTGGTCACAAAAGACAACTTCTGGCTACAAAAGGCCAATTTCTAGTTACACAAGGCCCACTTCTGGCCACAATGGACCCATTTCTATCCACAAAAGTTCCACTTCTGGCTACAAAAGACCTACTACTGACTGCAAAAGACTCGTTTCGGGCTACACAGGACGTATTTCTGGCCACAAAAGACGTTCTATTTTTCTTTCAGTATTCCAACTTACACAAGGTCAAACTGCATGCTTACATTATAAGTAACATACCTAGAGAGGTTCCACACATCTCCACGGGGCGTAGTACCCGGGTCCACAGCTGGGCTACGGGGCCGACTTGCCCCGGGAGAAACTTCACGCCTACACTATGAGTAGCAGTCACCATTCTGGCTACTAAGTACTCACTTCTGGTCACAAGGACCCACTTCTGATCACAAAGGACTTCTTCTGACGTCTACTCAGGTCGATGGATCGTCATCAAATGTTCCACTAGGCGGCGTTGGCGATCCGCCATCTTGTTTTGAGATCGTGATTTGACTTCCGTTTCCGATAAATATTATTATTTATTGGGATCAACTGTTTGTCCAATTTTTTACATAGCTTGTGTTCTTTCAACGCCATTAATATTTTTTTTACCAAAACATCTGTTTTACACAATTGCATGCAATTTTCGATAAAAAAAAATATCATTATCATATCTCCATGTTTTATATAAAATCATTTGTTCCAGGCATATCTGTACATAGAAAAGAAGCAGATTGTTGGCTGCTTAGTTGTCGAGCCCAAGATGAAAGCCTACAAGTTCATCCCGGGAGATCCCGACTGTTGCAGCGTAGAGGAATACCCCGTCAAGTGAGTATACACATCCATACTCATAATTTTGTGAATAAGCAATGAATGTCTGTATTACTCTAACATTTTTGAGGATTATGTACCTAATTGGTGTGACTGTCTAAAAAACAAAAGAGACCACAAATTCTTGACTAAAACGCGTCCAAATAATAGGACATTACAGGCTCCTTTTTGTTGCCAAAAACACTATATGTAAGTGTAGGTACCTATTTGTTTTTTTACTTTGTAATGTTGTGCGTTGCCAAATATATCTCATGCACACCAGCACACCACACAAAAATTAACAAAAAAAAATAGCACATTTTAGGCGGTCAGTTTAGCGACAAGTTATTCGGAAATAAATCTTTGCTAAAATTTTCATTGGAAAAGCTAGTAAACAATGCAAGTACAAGTTAAAGATTTACTAGTATAAAACCCATTTTTATTTTTAAATACATGTTTGACGTTTTTAAGACGTGTATTACCGGATGTTTTAAAAGGATTTTTGATATTTCCCAGATGCGGCGTGTCCCGTATCTGGACGCACATGCAGTACCGGCGCCGCGGGCTTGCTCGGGCGCTGCTAGACTGCGCACGCGCGTCCTTCCTCCACGGCGCGGCGCTGCAGCCGCAACAGCTGGCTTTCAGCGCGCCCACGGCCGCCGGCAAGGGACTTGCTGCTAAGTACTGCGGGACTGACAACTTTTATGTCTACCTCGACTGAGATACCTGGACTATCATGGGACTAAATTACTATTTTGGAATAAACTTGGCTTGATTATTAAGATTTTACTGGAGCAGCCATAACAGCTGGCTTTCAGCGCGCCCACGGCCGCCGGTAAGGGACTCGCTGCTAAGTACTGCGGGACTGACAACTTTTATGTCTACCTCGACTGAGAGCTCACACCTGGTCTATACATTGGCGTTTAATATTCGGATTTCATCAAAAACCAGCTGTAAACAGGGTGTCCACATTCTGGAAAGTCAGGGAAAATCAGGGAAAAGTCAGGGAAGCTCATAGCAGTCCTGACTGCTATGAGCATTTCCCTATATATTTCCCTGGAAAGTCAGTGAAATAGAGGGGTCACCTGGAAAGTCAGGGAAACATTGAGATTTTGTCTACCAAAACATTGTTTGTCTCCCGAAATTTCCCAGTGATTGTAAAATGAAGGATTTAATTAATTTATGCTCTAGAAAGACCTTTGATCTTGACTATCGAAGCATTTTTTTTTCAGGTTTGGAGTGATCTACATTATGACATTGTTTTTAGTCATAATTATATTACTCCTTTTTGGTTTTTTATCTAATGAAGTAGATTGATCTAAATTATGACATAATTTTGTTCTTAATTAGATTACTTTTTTTTTTAGAATACTTTGTTTTTTTTTTCAGGATTAGAGTGATCTATGTTATGATTTTTTTTTGTCATAACTAGATTACTCCTTTTTGTTTTAATAGTTGTACTTTTTTGTTTCAGTAAAATGATATAATTATTTTCTATTGTCGATGTGAAAGTGCAACTTATAACTTATGTTTATTTATATATTTTTTATAATTATTTATTGATTTGATTATTGAGTGCAGACTAGTGAGCAGTTCACTGTGAGTGCTATTAATACAGGGTGGAAACGATAAGGGATCTCATTCGATTATTTCTAAACTTCACAAGATATCGAAAAACTGCTTACTGATCTTGAAAGTGCTTCACGAGGTCCTTCAAACGATATCAGTAATAGGTTACAGAATTAACTGGATCTATCCGAAAAGTCAACGTGTCCCAAAATTCAAGGATAAGCCGGCGCCGCAGGATGGACATAGTCATGACTACTTTAGGAAAATTAAGGAAAAAAATCTATCTCAATTATTTTTTAAGTTACACAATAAATTACGAAATTCTTCGAATATTGACACCCCTTATTATGTTTTACATTACCACGACCACCATTTTTCAAATATTTCTGTTTTTTTTGTTTGTATCGGCAACTTAAGTAGTGTTGCTGTCCACCCCAACTCTTAAAACCCCCAGAATCCTTGCAGTTTTTACACAAAAGTTAATCAAAATATGTTATTTCCTTAAAATTTTGAACGATTTTTACTTTCACTCCACTTTGACTCATCGTTTTGTAAAAAAAAGTATGAACACTACTTCGGCAAGTTTTTTTATAAAGTTGACGCAACTATCCAAGATTCCAAAATGGTATAATACTCTAGGTCCAGTTTTTTGATTCATAGTTAAAATAACAGATTGTTAAATTTTGCTACTAATGGTTAAATATTAACAAAATGTTAACTAATAGTTAAAAAATGTACTAAAAGCCAAGCTAACCATTGTTCGAAAAACATTTTTTTCTGATATTTAACCACTTGTCATTTGACATCTGTCAAATTTGACTATTGGTTATTTTAACTACGAATCAAAAAACCATTTTCGAACAATGGTTAGCTCAACTTTTAGTAAAAACTGAGAAGAAGTCTAGTCGCAAAAAAGATATGCGTACCATTTTTACAAGCACTTCGCTTGTTAGTTAGTATGGGATAAATCTTGCAACTGAATTTAAAACCAGTTCTCCTCAACCGATTGAGCTGAAATTTGGTATACTTATGTAAGTACAATGAAAATGCAATATTATGGTACCATTGAGCTGAATGGAGACTGAAGGTGGCTACAGGAACTTCTAAACGAAACGGCGGAAGTGCATCTAGTTTGGGTTCGTTGGATTTGTCTTTTAGAGCACTTTAGTGCTAGATGATGTCCAGGGCCCTGATGATGAAGTCAATTATAATTTTCAAACGAAGTCAAGCTTGTTTTTAAAAAAGTTTTATTTTAAACTTTTTAGTTGTTTCTCAATCTCATGGCCTAAGTGCTCGGGAAGACAAATCCAACGAACCCAAACTCGATAAGCTTCCGCCTTTTCGTTTAGGACTTCCTATGGCCAGCTCCTGCCACCTCTTGACTTCATCATCAGGACCCTGGACATCATCTAGCACTAAAGTGCTCGAAAAGACAAGTCCAACGAACCCAATCTAGATGCAATTCCGCCGTTTCGTTAAGAGTTCCTATCTCAATGTCTCTCTGACTCCATCCAGCTCAATGGTACCATAATATTGCATTGTCATCGTACTTACACAAGTATACCAAATTTCAGCTCAATTGATTAGGGAGAACTGGTTTTAAATTCAGTTGTAAGATTTATCCCATACTAACTAACAAGCGAAGTGCTTGTAAAAATGTTATGCATAATTATCTTTTTTGCGACTAGGTTTCTTAAGAGTATTATACCATTTTGGAATCTTGAATAGTTGCGTCAACTTTATAAAAAACTTGCCGCAGTAGTGTTCATACTTTTTTTTTACAAAACGATGAGTCGAAGTGGAGTGAAAGTAAAAATCGTTCAAAATTTTAAGGAAATAACATATTTTGATTAACTTTTGTGTAAAAACTGCAAGGATTCTGGGGGTTTTAAGAGTTGGGGTGAACAGCAGCACTACTTAAGTTGCCGATATAAACAGAAAACCAGGAATAATTGAAAAATTGTGGTCGTGGTAATGTAGAATATCATAAGGGGTGTCAAATTTTCGTTGAATTTCATAATTTATTGTGAAAGTTTATAATTTTTATAATTGAGATAAATTTTTTTCCTTATTTTTCCTAAAGTAGTCATGACTATGTCCATCCTGTGGCGTCGGCTTATCCTTGAATTTTGAGACACGTTGTATACATCAGGTCAGGGAATTTTGAAAAAAATGTCAGGGAAAGTCAGGGAATTTTTTCGAACATTTGCAGTGGACACCCTGGTAAATCTTGGCAATAGATGAGTTGCAGCAGTGGGAATAGCCCTGGTGAATACTGCGTCACTGAAAACTTCTACGTCTACCTCGACTTTGAACGCTACACCTCTTTTGGATTAGGTACTTTGGCATTTGGCCTTCTTATTAAGATTTACCGGCGGCGCGGGCTTGCTCGGGCGCTGCTAGACTGCGCGCGCGCGTCCTTCCTCCACGGCGCGGCGCTGCAGCCGCAACAGCTGGCTTTCAGCGCGCCCATAGCCGCCGGTAAGGGACTTGCTGCCAAGTACTGCGGGACTGACAACTTTTATGTTTACCTCGACTGAAAAAGCTACGCCTGGTTATCCTGGACTAAAAAATTGCGTTCACATTCGGATTTTATCAAAAAACCAGTGCAAATAGTCTGAGGACTATTGCGACCATCTATATTGCGAAACTTTTGCCTCTACCTCGATTTGGACCACTACATCTTGATATTCGGGACTATTATTGGAGCAGCCGCAACAGCTGGCTTTCAGCGCCCCCATGGCCGCCGGTAAGGGACTTGTTGCTAAGTACTGCGGGACTGACAACTTTTATGTCTACCTCGACCGTAAACCTGGATATTCTGAACTAACCAGAGATTAAATTGGCCTACTTATTGAGGACTGGGGGTTACATAACTAACCGTCACAGTACCACCATGTGTCAATATCATAGTACTTTAAGAGCAACAGTCACAAAAACATTGAAGGCTTTGCAAGCTGTAATATCCACAAGTTATAAAATTATCTAATAATTAACAACTAGTAAAAACCCAGTGTGTGCAGTGTTTTAATGACAATTTATTTTCAACTACATTGACAATGGAATTATCCACACAAGTTTATGATATTTATGTTCATATTCGAGTCAAAATGAATGGCATTCTGAGAAGATTCTTAATTTTTCTGTTACATAACTATAAGAATATATTACCTCATTTTGATAAACTTCAAAAATTTTACATGATGCATTTGCGCATTCAATAAGAAATAACTATTTTTAGAAAGTAATTTTTTTGCTTGTATTTGTAAATACTTTGTTAAAAATATTCCATTTTATGGGACCAAACTCGAATAAGCTAGAAGGTATTTTTTGATAGTTTTTGTTGTTATAAGATTAATATAAAAATTATGATGTGCCTAACAAAAAGTCGACTTTAGTATTAAGTTTATTTTTTGTGAGTAAGCAGGATCATTAGATAATTTAATTATCTCATCACTATGAGTAACTAACGAGAAATATTTAAACACACTTAGGCTGGGTTGCACCATCTTACTTTGACTTTAACAAACGTCAAACAAACAAAATATCTGCCAAACTCCATACAAACAACCGAATTGAGAACCTCCTCCTTTTGTTGAAGTCGGTTAAAACACCGGTTAACGTCAAGGTTAGCTGGTGTAACTCAGCCTTATAGTTCTTAAAGGGTTCCGTATTTTATATCTCAGATACGGGAACTCTAAAAATCTCAACGGTTGACACCGTTTTTTAAAAATTATAGAAGTTATTTTTACTTTAAAATTTACAAGTATCTGGTGACCCTGCACTCATCGTCAAACCAAGTGAGTGTACCTAGTGTAAGAAAAAACGTGCCTGTTAGTACTAAGTTAGGTTAAGATTTTTGATGTTACTATGAAACTATTTTGAGATTTTTATAATTTAAAACTTGTGAACTTGCTGTGAGTACCAAATTACGGTTTTGAAGCCAAAAAGTAATATGGTATTTAAGCTCCGCTCTCTACCCCACAATGCAACGAAGTAGTTTTATAAAGTCATAAATACGCTTAACGGTAAATAATGTCGTACTTAAGATTGATATGTAAGATATTTCAACATAGCGTTTTAAAAAATTGACGCGAAAACATTTTGTAATTTAGTTGCAAATGGACGATCTGAAGGAATGCTCATAACTTTTTTTTGTTAACATTAAGCATTCACGATTACAATTTTACTAAACTTTGCCAGTGAAAATTGCGTATACGCATCCCCAAAGTTGTATCTATTTTGTTAGAATTGCTATAAAATATTGCATTTATTTCCATGTGTATTTTTCCGCTACTTGCTGTCTCTAAATGCTTGATATTCGTTTATATGTTGAGTGGCAAGTCCAAAGATAGTACGTACCATACGTATTGCCATAGTCTGT